CATCATAGAACAGAACCAACTTGTTTAATTGAAACAGCTGTTAAGATTCATTAATTCCATTTCTCATAAGGTTAACATGGGAAACTCGAGAGCCACTGGGGCGGAGCCCTTTTGACGGATCTGCACCAAACTTCACTAGCCTTCCTTGAATAATGCTTAATAATGCCTGGAAGTTTCATTACAATCTGTCAAGCGGTGTCCGAGTTTATCCCTGCCAAACAAACAAACAAACAAATATATATACAAACATCCTCTTTTATACTTATAGATGTTTGATTAGGTATACAGAATATTATTATACATTTTTCTTTCAAGCCGCTTACATGCAATAATACTACTAGATTCAATAATTTAAGTTGATTCAGTTGCAGGTACAATTAATATGACACAGAAATAACACAAAAATAGAGCATAAAAGACAAAATAGAACAAAGTGAATTAAAGCGCAGTGATAATATAGTTCATGCTACATGCTATGAAAATCAATAAATACTACATACCAAAGTGCATTCTACTGTACATGCTAAGTTTGTGCTAACAGTGTACGCTATGAAAAATCGACAAATAGTTAACATGGCAAAAATCCAAGAAAAGGAACAGGAATAACAATTGACTAGCATGGAAAACAAAGTTAGCTCTTCCTAGTCCTCCATGCTCAGCCACCCAAGAGAAGACTCAGGTCTCTCTTTTATATATTTAGATTACTATTAGTGATTTACTTTAGTAATTTACTGAAGATAGGACCTAGGACTCCCCTGGGGAGATAAGCATCTAGACTGCCAGTGCAACTCCTAGGATCGGTAGGATCGTGGATCAGATCGAAAAACCCCCCACCACCGCTCAGTGCCGATGGCGTGACGTCAACCTTACTGGTGCGACATGGTGCGGTGGTGGGGGGTGATCCACTGATCTGATCCACGATCCTGATCTGAGTCCGATCCTCGGACTTGCACTGGCAGTCTAGACGCTAGTCCTGGAGAGGTCCTTTTTCCTTATTGGCTGGCCCCCTGGGGTCAGAGGAGGCCTGTTAAAAATTTACACTAATTGATTCGTCATGTTAGCGTATTCATCTATTTGTGAGTATGATTAACGAACCAGCGTCGTAAATTCAGCATGTGGTCAAATTTGAAATCAAAAGATTTGGCGAGACTCTTTTCTTACAACCGTAGAAAGAAACTAAACTACATGATAAAATAACTCAAGGCTTTGTTACTGATCAAAACACTGTTCATTAACCAAAGTTTTACAACGTTTGAAGAATTTAGACATTTTAAACGACAAATATAACGAAAAACACTTCCCACTAAAAGGCACTATGTACTCTATCGTATCGTCCGACATCTAACGTGGTTTAGGGGAACTGTGATGTTTTAGTTGCAAAGTTTACCGCCAGGGGCGCACTAAACTGTTACTTACCCATCATAGTAATTTGTATCGTAAACATAAGTGCAATCGCTATTGTTGTTTAATATGTCTACGTTTTAAAGCACAAGTTTCAGTTTATTTTAGTTCCAATTTTTTAGCTAAATGTTAACATAGATTAAATGAGTAGACGTTGATTTATTACAAAGGTTTAACCATAAATATCTATATTTTTAATGATTTATGTTCAAGTATTGTTAACACAACACCAACACGGGTCGTAATATAGGGCGAAAAATATTAATTTATATCATTTACTATGTTCGACAACTGGGTACACTAGTGGTAAAACGATGAACTAAAACTGGTAATGAAGATTGATAAAATCGGTAATGCAGTACGCTCTTGAAGTATTTTAGTAAATTCTTTGTTGATAAATACGATGCTATTCGTGATTTGTACCTGAGCCAATGAAATGACAATAGCCAATTAATATCTATTATTGAAAAATATTTTATTTTTTTTCTTATCGTAACGTGCTTAATTAAGAGAAGTTTAACCGTACTTTAGATTTTTGAACACGCAACGAGAAACTTTAGTAATTTGAAGCTAATTTAGACAATTTTTATAATATTGTTTCTGATTAATAAAATATGGAGTCTGTGGTAAATCGTGTATTTAATATATGTAGCCTGATTGGTGTGTTTCGTGTTGGTAACGTTTGAGTAAGCTTTCGACTAAATGCTTTTTTTATGTTAAATTTTGCGCATCCTAGGCAGGTAATATGAAGAACAGCAATTAGTCAATAAATATAACCAGTGGTCACTAACTAAACTAACCAACTTTTGAAAGACATGTTTTAGGCGAGGTTTATTATACTGTATTGATCAGCTTGTGGGCTTCACTCATCTTATTTGTTAATCCACGACTTGTCAAAATGTAATTAAAATTCTACAATTACATCCTGGATTGACAAATACGGTGAGTGAAGCCCACAAGCTGATCAATACAGTAAACTAACCAAGCGTAATACCATAGACGTAGCATATCGTAAGTGTGTAATCTCTTACCTTTAACAACTCCTGACGAACTCTAAAAATTGTTAACCTTCATTTTACGTTCTGAAAATATGCTATTTTGGTACTTACGTAATACAGGGTGGTCATAAATTATTGGACACATTTTAAGATTATATAAACAAACTAGCAGAGTACCCGTCCTTCGTACGGGGTTGGGATATAAGTATAAAATGCTTATTGCAGTTATGGGTGAGGACATGGTTTAAGAAAGTTTGGTTCTTATGTTCTACCACTGCCCCTGAACCATAGAAAAAAGTAAAGGTCTCATTGTGTACCAAAGCTTTTTATTGCTAGTCGGTCCCAATTAGTAGCGTCGGTCACTTAAAAATTTGACTGGTGGTACTGCAACCAGCGCTACTATTCGTATTTGCTAGCAGCTATACCCTTGCCTTGCAACGGGGTCAGTATGAAAAAATGAATGCTGGTTCTTTGAAAATGCCAAATGGTTTCACTCCCTACCATTTATTTTATAAACGAAATTGAACTGTATTAGCCTAATAGTAATAGGTCTAGTACTTTTTTGTTTACTCATACTGTGAATACTTATTTTAGGCTACCTAGTGTACAAAACCATAATGATATATTTTAAGGTATAATGAAAGAACCTGATTAATAGTTTGGACTTTAAACGAAAATCTATCACAATAGTTCCAAACCTGTCAATAGTGTAGTTTTCTAACATATTTTAGGAAAATTACAATCAGGCAAATGGAAGCTCGCTAGTCTATAGGTTTGCTGCAGCAGAGATATTAAATTACTGTTTAAATCTAAAACTGTAATTTCATACAACTCAGGATAAGGGCCTAGGTTGATACGGCAATGATTGTAGAATCTTAATTATTTCCTATATCCATGAATGATTTCTTTTTACAATGAAATATTCACTGTAAAATATTATTACAACATATCACAAATGTTAGAACAGACTCATTACCATAGATTATAAACATAAACAAATGATGTAACTGAAAGAATCCTATTATAATGAAATTACATATGGTTTGACAGCTCCATTTAAGTAAATGTTAAATAATGTTTACATTCAGGCTAGTGACATCATTATTTTAAATATGATCCTTACCCTCTCTGTTCTAATATTCGTGCAGTACGGTATTTAAATAAATGTTTGAACCAGCTGTGTGGAATTGTGAAATCAAAATTTATTTGATAGATAGTTCTGCTTGTTTACATTTTTTAACTTTCTAGGTTTGTTCTTTGTTACCATGGATACCATCAATCAATATTTACTTTTTAATCTCTCACCTCCGACTTTTGAAAGCCCACGGGGCAGAGCCCGAGGTCAATATCGAAGCGGGAATAGTTCTATATGTATCCTCAGAGCTGTAGCTTCATTTGTGTGCAATTTGAGACCAGTAGGTTATAAGTTTTTGAGATTAGCTCATACAAACACACACACACACACACACACAGACACCACCTCTTCTTTATAATAGTATAGATTACCAAGCAACTTAGAAACATGGGAATTGTTTCATTGAATAGCAAATTCAAAACAGTTTTATACAGCAACTGCAAAACAATAGTTATATAAATGTCCGTGATTGTAAAAAGTGGTTATAAAAAAGTGTACAAAAATCACTCAAACAGTGAGTGTAAGTTGTTTTTTTTATGACTTGTGTTGTGGCCTAGTCAGCATGGATAGCATGGCATAGTTAGTATAACAAAACCAACAATGAACCTTTCTACACCAGCTGTGTATGATATTGGGTGAATCAAACCTTGAACCGACTTCAGTAACAAAATTACTAGTGTGCAATAAAAAGTAACGTCTTTGGTTTCATGAAAGCCAATCTGTAATAACTGTTCAAAGAAGGCTTAGTTTAGAGTATAACCGTAATTCTCTGTGTAGAAATTCTATAAAATGGTGGTATAGACAATTCGAACGACTGGAAAGTGTCCAAAATATAGTCTTAAGGGTCATACCCTCAGAAGAACATAACTTACAATAACAGTTTAGGTGATTTTTAAAGTCTTTTTATAATTACTTTTCATAATTGCTGACATTTTTATAATTGTTTATTTGCAGTTACTGTATAAAACTGTTTTAAATTTGCTATTTAATGAAACAATTCCCATGTTTTTAGGTTGCTTGGTTATTTATTTATTTTATCTTAAAATGTGTACAATAATTTATGACCACCCTGTATTACCACACCTAATAGACCACTCCTACTAATTAAAAACTTACCTTACCCTAATTGTATTACCTAAGGTTATAATAATAATAATGTCTTTATTTAGCAAGCGTTTTTAGATACAATATTTCTGCTTTTCAAAACAACTCTTGTCAAATTCTGCTTTACGAATCCTTCCACCCTTACAAAATCTTTCGAACTGTAAAGCGGAAAGACGATATTTTCCGCCGAGAGATGGAAGCATCGGTGTATACAGTCTTAACTAGTTACTAGTTAGACTACATACATTGATGGATGGAAGTAGGCTGAGTAGTAGAAAGGGAGGGGTACTCCCAATCCCACAACAATGGGAGTGTGGGAGTGAAGAGTAGAGGTACAAAGTAGAACCTGTGAGTGAGTCACAAACTAACTAGGTTTGGCCAGAGTAGTGTCAGAAAACAGTGCGTTACTGGAGGCTCCATATAGGAGAAGAAACGCCACACTTACAAGGTTAGTAGAAAACTAGTGAGAAACTGATGAACATCAGTTTTAGAGTTAAGTTTTTGCTTCTCTAGACATATAGCCACAGGTTATGTAGACTTCTATGTTTTTAACGTTAAAGTAAACTAAGTTCTATTTGTTAGGAGTTTATGGTTTATTTTAGTATTAATATTTTAATAGGAAAATATTACTTTTATTTTGTTTGTGTTGTGTTTTGTCCCAAAGGTTGGTTTAATTGTAATCCGTTACTCTTTTAAACTTTCATACATATTGTTTTTATAAATTAAATTCAGCAGTAGAGTATGTATCTTGTTCGTTAGCTTTACTATAAATTTGCACCTCAAAACTATCGTAATGTAATATTATGTTTAGGTACAATTTCTTAAGACAACTAGGCCTAATTTATTTTCGTTGTTGTAATATTTGTAAGTATACGGAGTTCTGTGTTACAATAAATTTGAGCTATTAAAAAAAAAATGAAATCTATGGTTTTACTGTGCGGAAACAGGCACTAGCCCATTTGGGGATTCTTTTTCATATAATTATTTTTGCATCATTTTGCGCAATACTTTATACTGAAGTAAAGATTTAATTAATCAATTCGTTCATTCATTTGTATGTATAGTGTAAAATATATTTAAAATATGTTTTGTTCACTTGATGTCGTCTTTTACTGGTTTAAAAATTATTATTTTTTGTTTGTTTGGTAATTTAAAATTAAAAAAGTCAGGAATAGTGTTTTACTAAAATGAAGGATAGTGAATTTTTAGTATAGACGCATTAAACGTAAAAACCTTCTCTAGAGAAATGTTTAATTCCTATTCCAATGCCATACTACGTATAATTAACCAATACTCATAGATTTACAAAGATTTCTTGGGTAAAACGGTTGTTAGGTTACCAAATTTTTAACCTAGAATTCAGACGCATTTATGTTTCTACACAATCGATCATTCAAAAAATCATATTTTATTGTCTAATATAAGATTAGGTCATTATGTAGAATCATTTGACAGTTTTGTGAAACTCTAATTGTTTTTAGACACTATGCCTGTTTTTTAGACCTATATTAAAAAAATAACTTAATTTTGCAACGATTAGATTTAGTTTAAAACGTTAAAACTCTGACATATCTATATTTTAGGCATGACTTAGGAAAGAATCAAGTTTACACAGATTTGCCATAATTTTTGATCTGCTACAAAATAATTTACATTTTTATGTGTGAAAAGAGTAGAAGAAAAAATAAATAAATTATTGCTTATATTTTCCCAAACTTTAACAATATTAACCTGACACGCCTGTGAAACTTCAGAAATTACCTTGTGTTTCCATGTAGGGCTAAGATAAGAGTTAGAACTAATACTATTGTTTACAATGAAGTTATTCGTCACGGTGCCCCTCAAGGTTGTCCCCTTGGTCCGATGATATTGATTTTTCCTAGATAAGAGTATATTCTCTATAATATATATCTCTATATATTATAGGTTACGATTAGCGTTAGATGATGTTTTGCTGTTTAAAAGTCTTTGCGGGGTTGAGAGTAGAAGGATATGAATAGGCAGGGTGAGGTAAACTTTTTTTAATTAGTGAAATATAATAAACATGCGACATTATCATTATGCATAGATACAACCGTTAAAATCTTATATTTGTTAGCAACAAAGCTGCACAGTAACACGATTCTACACTGATGTTTGATCATTTTTAGCTTAAGATACACAGTGCGTATTTGTCAAGCGATTAAAGTATAAAGATAACGCTGGAAGAGTGTAATAAAAACCCACCGTGTAAAGATGTACATGTACAACAGTCTTAAAATAGACTATTGTAAAAAAACGATCGTTTTTCCTTTATCATTAATTGGGATTTTAATACAGGGTCCTGGCTGGAAAACCAGGTGATTTTAACAGCACCGAAGCTACAATTTATACATTATACACACAATCATTCATCCTTGCTTTAAATTACACTCACCAATGTGTCAGCAATTTAAAATTTAATTTAATAATGAATCGAAGAAGATTGAAAACAATCACGTAAGCTATAAATTACTATTTGAAAATATTAAAATATTTTTGTATACTTTATCCACCACGAATCAGTAAACGTAGTACACACTTTGAAGTTAAAAATCGTTGCTAGACTATGTGAATCTTGATTTAAAACGAGACAAGAATGATAAAGCATTCATTTCCAGGCAACTTTCTGTGTTATTACAACACTAATTTGACATGTAACCTTGACAGGTGAGTCGTCAGCATTGTTGATCAGCTGGACTTCTGAACTCCCGCCAGATGTTTGTAAACAATCGTAGGCGGTGTTATTGGCGGGAACCAGTTATCAACAATTAGCCACGAGTGGTCGTTTCTTATTTTGTTTCCAACGATCGCTTCTTAGCTCTGTTAATGGTAAGAAATTCTTAAATTAACGAAGCTAAGAAGCGATAAATTGAAAACAAAATAATTTTATTTAGGTTAACTATGCAAAGTGTTTATTGCGGACACTTTCCATTACGATAGGTAAAAACAACGTTATCAGAAAATTACGGGATCTGAACCTGAATTCACCGTTAGTTGGGAAAAGTACCTTAGAACATAACTAAAACAAGATGATTTAGAAACCCCAAAGCTTAAAACTTCACAATAACCGCACATAGAACTGGATGGTTGAAAAATCACCAGAGTGTGCTAAGGATGTCGTTTTCGTTCTTACACGCCAATAATGCCAAATAATTATTTATTTATTTCGCATGCTTCAAAACAGAATACAAATTTCATTTAAATTACAGCACTATCGTAATTAATACACAATATAGAGCATGCTATGAGTTCATGGATTAAATATAGCCTAAAGTAAAACATTCATATTAATTAAAAATAAATATTAAATAGCAAATAACAATAAATAATAGTAACAATAAGTAAAGAGTGATTAAGAATGACAAAAATAAATAATATAAGTGACTTGACCGTATATATCACATCTTCAGCCTTCAAGGTATGCAAACCTTGGAGAAAATACTCGTAGAACCAACAGGAATATAATAAATGAGATGTTCACTAAACCATCCATTCGTAGGGACAGGATCCGGATATAGCTGGTTGGAGTACAGATTCATTTTCTTCCTTGGTAAAACATTCTCCATATACTGTACTTTTAAAATCAGCTCAAAATTCATTCAGATAAGGAATGTAGTCTGAAGATAAATATAAATACTTGAAGTTCCACCTTTGTTATTAGATATTGAAGGTAGCCGGTGTACTTTAAGCATTTCTCATGCGGATGCCTAATTGAACTATAGGTTTGTTTTCATTTTCAAACTGTGATATGGCAATGATAATTTGTTTCACGTTAATTTTTCTACAAACAGATCTCCTATGTAGTTTCATATGAAGCTCTTACAAAATATCGGTCGAAAAACAATTTCTCACAGAAACAGTGTACGAAATTCTCAGCAAAGTTCATTGCCCTCAACCTCCCACTACAATTCTCTTACTCTGTGTGTTAACTGTCAGTTTCGCAATCTGCCGCTAGATCGCTCTGTAACCGGAACAGGAAATAGGAAAACCGCAATTGAGGTGCGTGACGAGTAGGCGCTTCAATTTGGTGCGTTTTGTGAACAACGGTTCGCACCAGGCGTGAAAAGCGAGGGAAAGTGTGAAAATGGCGAACTATAGCTTGTGAAACTTTGGCACAGACTAAGATCAGCTGTTTATTTAGCCGAGAGAGTCGGTTTAAAAGCCCAATGATCATGGACAGCTAGGACCAGTTTTGAGTCATGAATAAGCTCCCGACTTTTCACAGACATACTAGTATTTTTCTCTGCTTTTTACAGGATCGAACCAGCGAAGTTCTAAAAAAACCAGGCGAGCACTTCAACCACGTAGCTACATAGCTTGAAATGTTAATTTTGTTCTTCAAATATTAAATTGCATTTTATACGATTCCATACTAGGTATTGTAGCTATATTCCACAATCCACACGAAATATGGCATAATTTAATTATAGAGGCACTAGGCACAAGCCCGGGATTGTTTTTCACATTACAGTACTTCAGGCTAGACCTATTTAATTTGGTGATTTGGCGGGATTTGAACCCGGGGCCTCAGGGACCGAAGTCCAGCGCTATCTTTACACCAGCTCGCTCCCCACGCATGCAATATAGCATCTGTGTGTTTTTTGTATATTTTAAATGTGCTTAGTGTAGTATTTTAAATGGCTGGTGGCAAGAGCTTAATGTATTCATTACATGAAAAATAGTGTCTTATTCCACATTTTACATTTCAGATGAGTCCTGTGATGATTTTTGCTTTCGCAACGTTGGCAACACTGCTGGTATCAACAAGGGCTGCGCCCCCAGAAAAAGCATGCACGGAAAATGAGAAACCGGTAATTATTTAAACTAATTATTGATAGCTAATGCATTGAAACGGAGTTTAAACCTAGAATTTTATTAGGAAATCTTTATTGTTATTTTTTACAATGTTCAACATAATGACGTTATTTATACACCCATGAAACAATAACCCAGGGTGGGTATGGTTAAAATTGTTCTTCAAAACTGCTACAATTTTAAACCCGTATGGTATTTATTATAAAAGTTAATTTATTTTCTGTAAATACTATTCAAACAGACATAAGAATAAATAGTCTTAATATTTATACCCTTCACAAAATTTAGGTGGTTTTAGGGGATGAAATTTATTTCCTCCACTTTAAAAACAATAGCTCAACAGCTGATGTTTGCTAGCACTTCAATCAACTGCAACCTTCCTCTCGAACCGCCGAAATTTTGTGATTGTAGAAAGAAATTTCAAATGTATTGGTTGTACATGATTGTTTTACTATAGTTCAATTCAATTCAAAAACCTTTATTCCATTCAACATCATGCTACATATTTCACATCCTTTTGTGCACACGTAAGTGCGAGGAAATCTTTAGGTACATGCAATTTTACAATGATGTTACTGGCAGAGTCTATTCACTGTTGATAACAATACACAAATATAATAAATATTCATGGCATCTAATCTTACAACAATGACACAGCATTTTCTTTTGTGGAAAACTGTAAATTTTAGTTACCTCAGGTTACCTATTTATTTTTCGTTCAAAAATACACGAATGCATACTATTAAAAATATAATGAATACTACCAAAAGATATGTTACAAAATTGTTTTAGTTAAAGAGTTTGACTTGTATGTCTATAGCCATGAACATGTCTAAAAGTATAAGTTTAAATTGAATATTACTTTTATAAGAGCAACTACGATTTATAAAATTTTTAAAACTGTATTTTACCATTGACTATATTTTACCCATTTGTGTAGTGTAGTTTTTCATTATGTTAAAGTACAAAATCATAGAATTTACAAAGTGCGAAATCATAGTATTTTACAGTGTCACTGAAAATAAAATCCTCATATTTTCTACTTTTTCGTATACTATACTTATACTTTTCTACGTATTTTCAAAAAATATTTTTTAGTGCAAGAGCCACAGCGAGTGCTGTGGAGGATGTTGCCAGCAGGATAAATGCGCTCCTTGTAAGTACTGAGTCTATTGCTACACACATTTACCTAAACTTTTAGATAAAATGAACCTTAACAGCTCACACTTCAGAATAATTCAACATACAAGTAGGCCTACTTAATAATATAAATTTAAGATTATACATCTAGTAGTACTAAATTAATAATGTTTACATCAGTGGCTGTTTTAGGACCTTTTTAAGGGGGGGGGGGGCTACCGGGGGTTTCGCGGGCCCCTACTGGAAAATTTGGCATTTTAAAAGCCGTTTGGTGACTTTCTAAAGCCATTTTTAAGTCTTTAACAGTATCCAAAACCTCCGTTGCGTTTTCAGGACGAAATGTATGTTTACAATTTTAGTTTTTCAGGGTCCAATGGAAGGGGGTGGGGGTAGCCCCTTGAATTATTTTTGTGTTTACAAAATATTTAAGTATGACAAAGTATCTAAAATGTGGAATTTGTCAATCATTTTCTTCTCTCTCAATCATCACTTTGCCAGCAAGCAGCTTGTTTTAACCTAGGGTGTTATTGAAAAAATATTATTCCGTTAATCTTTTGTTAACATAGTCACTGTTCTTGCGTTACCATTTTTTTTATGTTACTCTCTCCAAACAATTGTTGTAGAAAATAGATGTATATAAATCCTTATTTCATTAACGTATCTATCACCCCTCGTACTATTTCACTTTTTCGATGCACTTCACTTTGGATATCCTACTTTATCATTAGCACCATAGATAAAAGAGAGTACCAATCTGTGTCAGTACTTAAGGAAGGGTTTCCTGACAAATCTATTTTATTGATCACTAAATAACTTCTGGATTAACTTCTGGATGTTGGCGCTATTATGTGAATTGTGGTACTTTAATTTAATTTTTTAACAATACAATAGATCTCCGCACAAATAATCAAAATTGGTTATTAAGTGGGGAGCGAAGGGGGACGCGTGTGGACGACTCTCAAATATGAGTCGTTCTTCTGTTTGGCTCACTAATTGCAATAATGGCTAATACTGTAATGACAATGAATAAGGTGGGATTAAATATGGACTATTGTACACAATTCTTTAATTTTCTGTACTATATATTTACTTAGGTTTAAAAAAAAAACTTAATAATACGAAGTTTGAAAACCATCTCTTACAAATAATTGTAATTTTACTTTAAAGTTAAATGTCATTATCGTTGCTCTATGGGAAATGAAAAGGGAGAACGATTCTTTTTAAAGAGTCGTTCACGTAGTTTAGTTCCTATCTTTTCTCTCCACTTCTGAGCACTCTCTCTCTGTTCTAGACTCGGACTCCTGCGTGAGTGCCTCCAACCCTTGTAACTTCTACGACTGTCCACCCAACAAGGAATGCTACCTCCAGGAAGTCCAATGTCTGCAGTCACCGTGCAAGCCCATCCCAGCCTGCAGGTCCAAGGATGCCGCCGACTACGACTATAACGGCTAGGGCGAAAGGGCGAAGCCCTAAAGCTTATAGTCGTGAAGATCAAAGTTACTTTCGAAGTCCTTCACAAATTGCGCATAGTACCTTGTACGTTTCGTGTGAAAATGTGCAAGAAAAGTTAGAGACACTGTTTTGAAATACTAACTCAAAAATCAATGACATGTTTAAAATATTAATACAGGTTTTCAATTTTCAGTCACAAAATTTTATTTTACATCATTGAGCAATTGTATAATGTTAATTGGATAACGTGGATTTAGTTTTTCTGTACACACTAACACACTAAGTAACGCAGGAGATTGTTGCTCTAGGGTACCTTTTAGACAAAACAAAATTTAGTGTAGGTAAGCAGATTTGACAAATCAAAAGAGGCCAACGTAAAAAGCAAAAGCCAACCCAAATCCATGAGCTACTTGCAGAGTCTCGTCCAAATAATGTCATCATTAGTAGTTTTTCTGTAGTTTTCTGGTTGTGAACCACAATATTAAGTTAAACTGGCAAAGAACGATGCATTTGTTTATTTTCCTCAATTTTTAGTTGTCAAACTTTATTAACCCATGAAACATTTGAGGAAAGACCCTTCATTTCTACAAAAAAAAGCGATCAATCTTTGATTAGGTCGTCGGCTAAAGAGCCAAATAAACAGACAATAACCATAAAATAACACAACGTATTATAGTTAAAGGAAACTAGAGTTCAAATTCAACCTAAGATACTGCGTTCACTTGCACTTAGCATGTATTGTACTTTAATTGTTGTTAGCTTTGTTATTAGTGTTTTGTTACGTTATGAACATTTATGTAGTTTTATAATAAAATGGTTTTGGAAAAAATATTTCAAGCTTAAACCTTGCTTTTATATTTTTAGAGAGTTAACGTGAAGGGAGTTTTATACTATTTTGTACTTTTATACGAGAGTATTTACTTTTTATTTTTTTAATAAAGAAAAATTGCCATAAGCACTAAATATTTGTAGCAAATTTCGATTAAGATTTCTGAGCGGGAAGGATAAGATTTTCTTTACAGTTACCCGACAAAGTTGGCTTCCTTGCACTGATTATAGTACAGAAAGCTGCATTTACTTTGTCGCACCGTTTATACTTAGTCGCACGGTATATATACTTTGGCACAAACCAGTTTTCCAACCAAACAACACAAAACAGCGTGGTTTTATTATACAGGTAATCCGAGTACACTTGGAAATAGGTTGGCAACACAAAGATAGTATTAATATGATCAGCTGATTGACTGTTGATACTACGATTTAACCTGTCGTTTCTTGTTTATATTACATTTTCGTTCAACGCTTGGTTTGGCCATAAACTAAAGTGTAGTTTTTGAAAGAATAATTATAAGTGTTCCTAACATGTTTGAGAATAATGAACTCAGTGATTGTGAATATATGTGTACACCAGAAGAAATATGTAGCAGAAATTGCAAAGCATGTTTCATTAAACCTGTTTCCTGAAAAATCAAGAAAGAAGTATGAACGAGCATAAACTGTTTTCTTCTTGGTGCGTAAGTAAGAAAGTTACAAAATTACTTGTTTATTCTGTTTATACTGATTATTACTGTTTATAAGTGTACTCTTGTAAACTTGAATAGTTTTAGTAACCTAAAGATACAACGACTACAATCAGTTGGTGTAGTGCTTCCAATTCCGTTCAACGCTTGGGTTGAACCATGGTTTAACCTAACCTAAAACGTGTTGTATAGTGTAATTATTTATATGCTTTATAGCGACTGTGGGAAAAATATAATGTGTAATACGAGCGCTAATGACCTTTGCTCACTAGTTACACAAATAACTATTACAATTGTTTTTAAATGGTTTAACTAGGACTTTGACATAAGCCAAGACATACACACTATATAAACGCAATATACAATAATCTCTCTTTGTAGCCTAGATAGTAAGATAGCCTTATCGCGGTTCCAAAACTAACCCCTCCCAAAACTCCACTTCCAAATCCTCATCCCCTAGGCTGGCAATGCCATTCAAATGTTGATTCGTCACAATAGCCCCTAACAGGTGCCAGATATGCCAATATACCATTGTGTCGCTGTAATCAAATCTGCTCACGTCACAGAAGTCCCCCTTCCCCCCTAGTACCCCCCCCCCACAATATCACACTGTTTAATTACACTTCACCCCACCTGGTGGCAAAGTTTATTACACTTTTAATAATACAGTTTATTAGCCAAAGCTACTGTAGGACGCGCAAGACCACCCGGATGGTGGATTAGGGTGACGCCTATTGGGATTAATAATGGTTTGATTAATTTTCATCTGGATATTATGATTGGGGTCACGCCTATGTTGGTACTGGTGAGTTTGCAGAAGATATATTACTTTAAGTTCTGATAACATTTAGGAATTTTTACAGGATTTTATGTAACCACAGTTTAGCAAGTACAACAACGCTTTTTGGTAACGATCACGATAAAAAAGCAACCATAAAATCATTTTATCTGGGTGAAAAAAAGTCAAGACCCCCCCATCTAATATTTTTCCAAGTAAATATACAGAGATATCCTTTTGGTGGTCGTGCAATCTTAGCAGGAAGTTTCATTTTATGATTTTGAAAATGTTGAGTGTCCACTCAAAAGGGGGGATTTGGGGGGCAGCTCAAATAGTTCAAATGTAAACCCCCTGCAAATGACACCTCATTTTGAAGGGTTTGCAAAAACTTAAAGAATGGTGAAAACTAGAGGTCACTATCTCTTCTCTAAGAAGAGAAGAGATAGCGAACTCTAGTTTTCACCATTCTTAAAGTTATTGTAATCCCTTCAAAATGAGGTGTCACTTGCAGGGGCTTTACATTTAAAATATTTGAGTTGCCCCCCAAATCCCCCTTTTGGGGGGGGGGGGTCACTCAAAACTTTTAAATGTAAATACCCATTTAGTGACACTTTGTTTCGAAGCGTTTTCCAAAAACTTAAAGAATGGTGAAAACCAGAGTTCGCTATGTCTTCTCTATCCAAAATAGTAGCCAATTTTGCCATTACGAACCAATTTTTACTATTGATTTTCCACAACATTTGACGGGCTACCATTTTGGATAGAAAAGAGATAGCGACCTCTAGTTTTCACCATTCTTAAAGTTATTGTAATCCCTTCAAAATGAGGTGTCACTTGAAGGGGGTTTACATTTAAAATATTTGAGTTGCCCCCCAAATGCCCCCTTTTGGGGGACACTCAAAAATTTCAAAATCATAAAACGAAACTTCCTGCTAAGATTGCACGACCACCAAAAGGATATCTCTGTATATCTACTTGGAAAAATATTAGATGGGGGGGTCTTGACTTTTTATTCACCCTGTATATTAATACGCAAGCAGTTTTCTTTTCACAGTCATAACTCAATAACGGCTTAAAGGATTTTAAAGTTTGAGGTGTCAAATTAAAGGTATTTTCACGTAGATGTGCAAATACGTCTCTGAATATTTAGAAAGGGCACCACTTGAGTACACTTAAGGGCTATAGTTTGGAAGGCAGCGCTATCTGTTGACATTTGATCAAACTCATTTCCCTTTGTTTACAAATAACATATGGACGTAGTTTTAAATAGTTTTTAAGGTTAACCACAGACTGCAGGACTTAACACTTCCAGAGCAAAGCTGGAATTTATATTTTGTTTTAATCTGTTAACTAAGTCTGGTTCATAATGAAGAGTTTCCTATCAATACTAGACAACAAAGTGTTACAGAATCGGTTGAACTCCTCCGCCAATTCTTATCCATTGACGTCTCATTGGAAAGAGCGTGTCGCGTAGATTTGCAAACTGGCCTTATATTTTTGAAAAAGTCCCTTGGGCTCTGCCCAAGTGGCTTTGAAAGTTCCCATGTTATCCTTATGGAGTACATAATTTTTTACATTTTGATCAGCTGTGTAGGCTAATTTAATTGCTGTTATTTATTTTTCAATTTAACACGTTTTGCATTTACTGATTTACTATTTTAATTTACATTCGTACATTCGATAAAGCCTGGACAGTTTGATATATTTGACCAAATAAGATAAATTAATTGACAGGGTACTGTATTCCTTTGAGCAATTATTGAAAGAACCGATTTGTTAACCACTTAACATAGGAAAGTCATAGAACGCCACCAAGTAGAAAAATTGAGATTTTTTAAAAACAGTCACTATCGTTATCATCCTTTATATCCTATATAATGAAGAACACCTACAATATGAAGATTTCCACAAACAATGAACAAGGATGTTAGCCGAAGTGCTACTATTTTGTTTGGAAACATGGACTTCACTTAATTATGATTGGCAAAGGAAACCCCTCTAAGGCTGAATTAAACTGTTACGGCAAGGACATTAAATAAATGTTTTCATAAAAGTCAAGTGATTTTAAAAGAACTACATCCAAGAAACGTTAATAAAACTTTCATTGAAGGATTCGCATTATTCACATTATTATTCACATTTAAGGGAAACAAAAACCCATCTGAACAGCATTAGGCCTTTCAATTCCGCATTTTCAGGTAAATATAACTTACGTCATAGCAATAACTAGCCAAATTAATGCCAATTGAAGAAAATAAAATTGTGACAGAGAGGTTATGCAGAAAATCAGGCAGTTTTTAAGTAATGTAAACAAAATGTTATCGCTATAAAAAATGACTGAAATTTTAAACGTACTGGCGACAATGGGTGGTACCATGCAGACTACATTATTATTGACAAAGATCAATATGGACAACCTAATGCGGCTATCGGTGTGAAAGATTTGCAGAACACACAAAAACCCAGATCAGCTTTTGATAAATGATAAAATATTTACAAGAAAAAGAAATTTTGATTATATGGAACTGCTAGGTAGGCTACGTAATCTATGAGTTGAGTCTTTTAAACTCATAGGAAATTATGACTTTTATTAGTTTTTAAATAAGTTATTTGTTTTTAAATAACTACTTTACTTCTTTACAATTGCTCGATTTCGAGCAACATGTATACTAGTGAATAACAAATATACTAAACGAAAACAAAATAACAACATGGGTTTATGAAGTACTAGCAGAGTACCCGTCCTTCGTACGGGATTGGCATATAAGTATAAAATGCTCATTGCATTTATACTCAAGCTTTGATAAAATGCCCTTCTTTAAATTTACGGTATACTATAGAGTTACACATCTACCATGGCCATTAATGTTCTACTACTTCAGCTAAACAATCAGAGAAAAAAATATTAAAGATTTGCAAAATATAACAAATTATTTATGGAATTAAAACATAAAAATAAATGTAAACAATCCAACTATGACAGTTCTCATTGCGTATCACGATTTTTGTTGCTACTTGGTTAAAATTAGCCGTTTTCATAAATGAAAGAATAATAGTGCTGCACCCTGTTGATAAATCTTATAACTTTCAATGTTTTTTCATATCATAGAACCAGTTTTTTTAGTTCAAACAGCTGACTAAATTATTTAATTCCCTTTAAATATGAATACTCATAAGGTTAACATGGGGAACTACAGAGCCGCTGGGGCGGAGCCCGAAATGATTTTTGAGATAAGAATATGCCTATATTTAATCGGGAATGTGAGCTTGCATCATGCCAAATTTCAGCCCAATCCGTCTAGTTGTTAATGCGTGATTGAACTTCAAACAAACAAACAAACACACAAACTTTCACATTTATAATATTAGTAAGATTGTTTAAATTGCACGCTTAATTGCACTGTACTGCAACTCCACTTTCTTCAGCAACGCGATCTAGCCGATTTTGTTTAAACTATGTGTCGACAACGTAGATTGAATACTTTAACACGTCTAAGACAAAAGTATATGAAATAAACCTCTACCACTCCTAA